GAATTCTGGTTCCTGGGAGGCTGTGCTATCCATGGGTGAGCGGGCAGATGCCCAACCTCTTTCTGTCATCACTCTATAGACACTGCATGCATACACCGTTACACCTCAGTACCAGAGAGAACTTTGCTTTGAACAGTACCACCGCTTATCAACGGCATTGAATTACCAGTATTCACTAATGCTTATGATCCCCACCATTGCTAGCAGAAGACAATGAATACTACCATATCAAGAACTTTAAACATCACAGAACTCAAGTTGCAGTCTCTTGTTAAAAGGATCTTTTCTCTTCTAAGGCCTAAGTTAATCAACTTAGGGTACCTATATTTATTTATACCAGAGTATACATTTACATAACACTCTGCATGCCCGTTGCAGCGCCAGCGGCATGGACGGAGCTGATAAGTCAACAAGCCTTTTCTTCTTCTCTCTCTTGCTGCTGCTGCTGCTGTTGCAATTAAATAGTTAAAGCTTACTACTCATGACTGTATAATTTGATAAACATTGCTTATTGATCATTCCTATTTTACCAATGTTCTGCTTTTATGCATTAACTGTGGTTGTAAATCCCAAACCCATTATTCCTGTAGCCTATTCTTTTGAACAAGTCTAATATAGGACTTGTGTCTCTTGCATTATTATTCTATACTGTTGAAATATATCTGAATTCAGAGTGTCAGCGATGTCGGGAGGTTTGCAAGGTCAGGGCAACCACTGGGGACAAGCATTATCAAGCAGGGTAGCACTACAGAGGTTATTTGAACTTTATTTGTCTCTTTAACCCTTTTTAGCAATTTTATTTTTTTTTTTCAGGCCTCTTCCATTACTAAACATTTACCAGAGTAAAAGGGATATTCATTTTCCTACTATAATAGGGCTGTGTAATATAGATTCAAATGTTGCAATGTCTCAGTCAATAGTAGCAGCAGCAATCAATTGTTACATAGACTAGTCTATTCAATTATTTAATATATACATTGCCCAAAGCAAATAATAATATAGACTGCTCCAATGAGTAATATATACATGTCCACAATCAATTCATTAATACATTCCTTGGGATTGATTTACTAAAGGCAAATAGACTGTGCACTTTGAAAGTGCAGTTGCACTCATTTTCCCCAGAGCTTAGTAAATGTGGTAAAGCTCTGCTGATTTCCATTATCCAACCATGTGCGAGCAAAAATGCTTCTTTACAAAGTGAAGCTTTACCACATTATATTTACTAAGGAAAACGAGTGCAACCGCACTTGCAAAGTGCACAGTCTATTTGTCTTTAGTAAATCAACCTCACTGTCTCACAGCTAATATAAATCAACGTATATAGTATAAATGCTATGCCATATACTGTATTCACTTCAGCTAATTAAATTATATACAGACTGCCACAGTTATTCTATAGATGTCTTATCCCAGTTGACCAATTCACATTGAACACGTTGTCCCATATAATTACTTTATCATTCATTAACTCGTGTAATTAGCATTTCAAATGTTTTCCAGAGAACTGTCATATTATATACTATCAAAATTAATTAAATAAATAAAACTAATTAGCATTGCACATTGTCCAGATATTTTGCCTGTTGTCCATTCCCCCAGTTTGCATACTGTAGATTGCCCCTATGTTCTAGCAATAGTGCACAGTTACTGGCCATACTGCACATTGCCCAGATACTGCTCATAGCGCACACTGCCCCCAGGTACATAATGTACATATTTTCCAGATACTGCTAATGCACACTGCACCCAGATACATAATGCACATTATCCCCAGATTCTGGTCATAGTGCACACTGCCAACAGATACATAATGCATATTTTCCCCAGATACTGCTCATAGTGCACACTGCCCCAGATACATAATACACATATCCTTCAGATACTGCTCATAGTGCACACTGCCCTCAGATACATATTACACACATTCTTCAGATACTGCTCATAGTGCACACTGCCCTCAGATACATAATACACACATTCTCCAGATACTTCTTATAGTGCACACTGCTCTCAGATACATAATACACACATTCTCCAGATACTTCTTATAGTGCACACTGCTCTCAGATACATAATACACACATTCTCCAGATACTGCTCATAGTGCACACTGCCCCCAGATACATAATACACACATTCTCCAGATACTGCTCATAGTGCACATTGCCCCCAGATACATATGCACATGCACACATTCTCCAGATACTGCTCATAGTGCACATTGCCCCCAGATACATAATGCACACATTCTCCAGATACTGCTCATACTGCACATTGCCCCCAGATACATAATACACACATTCTCCAGATACTGCTCATAGTGCACATTGCCCCCAGATACTGCTCATAATGCACATCCCCCCCAGATATATACTGCACATTGCACCCAGATACATAATGCACACATTCTCCAGATACTGCTCATAGTGCACACTGTCCCCAGATACATAATGCACACATTCTCCAGATACTGCTCATAGTGCACACTGTCCCCAGATACATAATGCACACATTCTCCAGTTACTGCTCATAGTGCACACTGTCCCCAGATACATAATGCACACATTCTCCAGATACTGCCCATAGTGCACATTGCCCCCAGATACATACTGCACATTGCCCCCAGATACATAATACACACATTCTCCAGATACTGCCCATAGTGCACATTGCCCCCAGATACATAATACACACATTCTCCAGATACTGCTCATAATGCCCCCCCCCCCCCCCAGATACATACTGCACATTGCCCCCAGATACATAATACACACATTCTCCAGATACTGCTCATAATGCACCCCCCCCCCCCCCCCCAGATACATACTGCACATTGCACCCAGATACATAATGCACACATTCTCCAGATACTGCCCATAGTGCACATTGCCCCCAGATACTGCTCATAATGTACCCCCCCCCCCCCCCAGATACATACTGCACATTGCCCCCAGATACATAATACACACATTCTCCAGATACTGCTCATAGTGCACATTGCCCCCAGATACTGCTCATAATGCACATCCCCCCAGATACATACTGCACATTGCCCCCAGATACATAATACACACATTCTCCAGATACTGCTCATAATGCACCCCCCCCCCCCCCAGATACATACTGCACATTGCACCCAGATACATAATGCACACATTCTCCAGATACTGCCCATAGTGCACATTGCCCCCAGATACTGCTCATAATGTACACCCCCCCCCCCCCCAGATACATACTGCACATTGCCCCCAGATACATAATACACACATTCTCCAGATACTGCTCATAGTGCACATTGCCCCCAGATACTGCTCATAATGCACATCCCCCCAGATACATACTGCACATTGCCCCCAGATACATAATACACACATTCTCCAGATACTGCTCATACTGCACATTGCCCCCAGATACATAATACACATTTAAATACTGGTCATAGTGCACCCAGATAATAGCCATACTGCAAACTGTCCCCATATAACTCTCAAATAACTGTAAAAAAACTTCCAGATACTGACCATATCGCACACTTATCATATGGAATATGAAGGTCCCAAACAGCCATCTGTTCACATTTTGGCAAATAGGCAGATCTGTGAGGGCTTGGGTGAGTACAGAGTACAGAATATGGCCTTGATAGCCCTATTTAATGGTAGGGCCCCCAGCTGCAGGGTTCAGCCACATGGAGTAGCTTATGGGTCCCACCTATGAGTACACACATCCTCAAGATGAATACAATGCACTCAGCCCCCAGATACCGGACATAGTGCACATGGCCTCTGGGTGATCCCCCAAATAATTATCATATTGTACACACTACCTCCAGATATCTGATATCCAGATGAATGTTATACTGAGCAGGCAGCCCTATGTCACATGATGTGTAAATGTTACATTGTTGTTAGGCAGTTGGGGTCTGGTATATTTGTCCTTCGTCTTGTATTCAAATCATTTACCTTATTCTCTGTTCATTTATGACTTCCAGTAATTGAGTTATCTTCCAATCAGTGAATCTTTGTCTACTTTTACCCTGGGTAACCAGAGCCCATAACTTTAGATACAATGACAATCCTGCAGTGAAGTATTACAAATGGTTTTCTGGTGCAGTGCATTAGGTATTTTACACTTTGCACCTTGATAGCATATTGCATGTATTTGTCTGTCTCTGTACTGTGATACAGCACAGAATGAGTTAAAGTTTACCTGGGATCTGCGGCAGGGAGCTTGCATGCAATCTGCTGCAGAGAACCTACAAAAAATACTAATAAGTAGTCTACAGCCCTTCACCTGTTTTTTTGGGCATCACTCCAACACTATTGATCAGATTTTCTCAATTTTTTTTAACTTGACGGAACCCTTGAAATGATTTGAAGGTTTCAGGGAACCCCTGATTTTCTCAATTTTTTCTTTAACATGGAAGAACCCTTGAAATGATTTAAAGGTTTCAGGGCACCCCTGTTAAAAGTTCCACTTACTGTCTATCTATAGCTCAATGTGCATTAGTTTAAATGTTCAGTTGAGCCTTAACAATAAAGCCCCTTTCACGCGGGGCGGACTTCGCTTTGCTAAGTGGTTAACCTGTCCGCTGATTCCCCGCTGAGCAGAGCAGAGTGGGCTGATTACAGGTCCATGTCCGCTCCTCTTAAACAGAGCAGACACAGACACATACGGTTTTCACTATGAACGTATGGGTGGAAAAGGACCGCCTATCTGTTTACATCCAACTGACCTCCGATTTGATCATCCAGATGGAGGGCAATGGCTCCCCTTTTGTTTGTTTTCGGATCAGATTGGAGGTCGATGGATGCAAAAAGACACAAGTCCGTTTACACTGCCACACCATAGAGATGAATGGAGGGACCGATCGGGTCCAGCTAAAAGATGGACAGGTGAACCCGACTGGATCGCTGATGTGAAAGGGGCTAAAGAATAGAGAATGTGGCATACTTGATACCCAGAGAAGCTCTATACAGCAAAATGATTTTCAGTTAACAGCAGGGGCGGACTGACCATTTGGAAACTTGGGCACTGCCCGAGGGCCCAGGGTCAGTAGGGGGCCCCATGAGATGCCTCTGGTACCTTTTTCATAGGCTTTTTTGAGTTTGGGCAAGGACACAGGGGCCCCATTATCCCTATTGCCCAGGGGCCCCATGAGTTGTCATTCCGCCCCTGATTGACAGTCATTGAAATGCCCTCTTGGTGGGCAGTGGGAAGAATGCTCCTTATATTGGTGGTCAATTGGAAGAATGCTTCTTACAACAGTGGTCAGTGAGAAGATTGCCCCTCAGATAGCTGAAAACCTTATTGGTGCCAATGGTTACTATACTTTGTATCAAAAATTGCTCATTGTTCAAGGAACCCCTAGCAACCTCTGGAGCAACCCTAGGGTTCCATGGAACACTGGTTGATAAAGGCTGCTAAAAATCTCTGGGAAAGGTTGGTAGGCATCTGGTAATAAAACAGCCAATCCTTTTGCAACCCTTAAGCTGGCCATACACGTATAGAATTTTCGTTTCAAGAATATTCATTTGATTTTCTAACTGTTAGTGGGTTCAAATCGATGTTTGTTTTCGACAGTAGTGACTGGAAACTTCCAAGGAGCAGGAAGGAAAAGTTTTCTTGATCAAACGAATTTTCGGCCAGTATATGTGCTTATCGTTCAGAAATTACATTCATTTTAAACTGAAATGTTAAAAACAAAAGACAATTTTCAAACGACATTTGTTCATTCACCGAATGTTCAAAGAATTTTCGGACGACTTTACCAACGAATATGCTCGTCTGAAAATCTACATGTGTATGGCCAGCTTTACTTTTGCAAGCACCTCTCATCTGATGGACAGTTCATCAGATTTGTCACTTACCTTGCTGTGTACAAAGAGACACCAGAGAAAATAAAAACTTCATGTGGTTTCTAAAGCAGCATAAGTATCAGTTTTTATTATTAAAAGGAAAGCAGATTCTTTATAATGTATGAAGAAAGGATTGATGACCAAAAAGAATCTTGTAACCCCATTTTTGGTCATGACTCACAGGTTATGTACCCTGAAAGTATACTTAAGTGTACTCCAAAAATATGTGATTTGTTTCTACTCTGTGCAGCTTTGTGTCCTATTATGCTATTGAATGGAGCAGATCATAAAGGACCAGCAATGTGCACTAGTTTGCCTTTATTTCTTCGGGAAAATCATCTACAGCAATTTTTCTTTTGCATCAAGTTGTCGATAAGTCATCAAAGCCAGAGGTCTTTATTTAGTCCCTAAATTCATAAAGCAACATTCAGCACTTTTTAATAATTCATTGAATGCTTTGCTGCAGGGCTGCTTTGTTCTGAAGTTCACATAGAGAAGAAGGAAAAAGAAAGAGGGAGAGAGCACCAATGATGGTGGGGGAGTTAACCACTTATATCAAACCTACTAGATAACGACACAGGTTCCTTTCCTGAGAAAGCATGGCAGGGAATTGGTACACAACATTTTGTCAATGTTATTCTTTATGTAGGGAAACTAAAGTTTAGGTTTCAGCCTTTTTTTAATACGTATTTGTAAATATACACACACATATATATATATATATATATATATATATATATATATACACAATAAACATATAGATCGATTTATATATATAAATATATATATTGCTGTATTAGAAGCTTAAATTATTATTTCAGCATTTGCATTCACTATATATTCTTGTAACCCCACCTCCTATTTGTGTTAGGTGGTTCAGCCCTAGCTAAATTCTCCTGGCCTCCCCTTGCTTGGGGTTAATTTAAATTTTACCCTTGCTGAGTATAGGACTATTAAAAATACTTACAGACTTTGAAATCAGAATGTATTATCACCTGCAGAAAAAAAAAACCTGAAAAAATATCTTTTGCTGAAATAGTCTACAGGAGCAATTTAAAGTGGTACCACTCAAGGCAGATATATGGCTCTACTGCTTACCATGGAAGGGTCTGTCCTTGACCAAACATGAAATAAAAAACGGCACTTCTGCCAGAATTGCTTTTCTCTTTTAATAAACTTTATTTCACTGTGTGCAGTGCATTTCATGTAATGCCTTCCACCAAAGCTTGCTCCTCCTGCTAACACATTTTTCTCCATTTGGAGTTTAATTGTAGAGAAAAAGGATTAAACAGAGAGGAACGCATAAAGTGGAATGTGTTGTGCATAGTGCAATAAAGTTTACTGAATTAAAAAAAAAGATTTGGTGGAAGTGCTACATTGGATTCAACTTCTGAGTCTTCATGAAAAGTTGACACTGTCTATGGATCTTGTTGAGTGAGCAACTTGCCTCGCTGTCTCCACAGACTGGGTCTTTGGAGGTTTGTGCTTTACATACAGCAGCATTTGTTGAATTTTACTATATACATATATATATATATATATATATATATATATATATATATATATACACAGTTGTGCTCAAAAGTTTGCTTACAGGAATTGTGAAAGTTTGGCATTGATAATACAAATATGACTGACCATGCAAAAAAACTCTTTTATTCAAGGATAGTGATCATATGAAGCCATTTATTACCAAATAGTTGTTTGGCTCCTTTTTAAATCATAACGATAACAGAAATCACCCAAATGGCCATGATCAAATGTTTCCATACCCTGGAATGTTTGGCCTTGGTACAGACACACAAGGTGACACACACTGGTTACAATGCCAATTAGAGGTTAATTTCCTATATCTGTGGCTTCTTAAATTGCATTTAATGTCAGTGTATGAATAGTCAGTGAGTGTATTAGCTCCCACGTGGAAGCACTAACTAGGCTAGATATTGAGCCATGGGGATCAGAAAAGAAAGTGTCAAAAGATCTGTGTAACAAGGCAATGGAACTTTATAAAGATGGAAAATTATATACAGTCATGGCCAAAATTGTTGGTCAGCCCCTTGATATCACTTTCTCCAAGAAATCATGAAAATTTTCACGAAACGTATTGATTACAAGCCAAGGTCAGCTAGACCAAGAAAGATTTCAGCCACAACAGCCAAAGAAAGGGAGGGAAAGCAAATCGACATAATGTCACACAAACTGGATGAAAACAGGGGGCACTGGACAGCAGTATTGGCACCCTTTCACAACTGCGGATAAATACTAGCAAATTTAGATACACTAAACAAATGTGATGCCAAACTCTAGCTAAACTTCACCTGGGGCAATTAAAGCAAACAGTTTGGGCCATTTAGAAATCACACCTGAAATGCAATAAAAAGGGAAGACTGGTCAATATAAGCACCCTTGTCATGGTGTGTCTTTTGTGCCACATCTTGAAGAGAGCATGTTCTTTTGAAAAACAACAGAACTTACTGGACCTGAGAACCAAAGATGTGGAAAATATCAAAGAAAGACAAGTTACAAGTCCATAAACCAGAAAACTAGATTTGCCTTTGCCAGTGCGCAACATTATCAAGAAGTTTGCAACCCATGCAATATAGCTAAATGTTTGGTTTTGGTTTATTACTACATTAAAGCAAAACTGTGTTCTGGTTAGCCACTGCAGAATTTTTCGGATGTAATATGCATGGCATACCCAAACATTATTGCAAAGACATTACTTCTGCAGGTTTGCATCAGTGTCCGCGAACTAATCGACATTTAAAAGAAATGAAGGCGCTATGGCTAAGTGACCCAGTATTGACCCCAATTTATTTAGAAACAATGGAAAATTTGCACTTACAAGACTAACGGTTTTAAAAAGTACTCATCGTGTAGTAATTAGATCCAAACCTTCTGGGAAGAAGGAGCCTATTGAGCATGCTCCAAAATGCATTACCGCCCCCTTAACCTGCTACATCATGACTCTGCTCTCCGAAAGCTTCATTTTTGATGCACAGGCCTACCTGGACAAAACTTCCTGACCTATAGGTATAATATGCTGCTGGACGGTTCTGGATGTTTTGGATTGTTTTACCCACGATGGCACTTTTTAACCGTTTGATCTGTGTAAGGCATCAAAGTTTACTAAATATTTTGTCAACACTGCACTTAGAGGCGCCTTCCTCTCTTTTTCTTGTTACTGCATTAGAGCCCTTGCTTCCACTCTAAGAAGAGCAATGCCTTAGTGTTACTGCTCAAAATCCATCCCTGATATCCATCTGGCACCTTTAGCGCTGGACAGCTACAGAATTGGGCTCCAACAATGAGCGCCAGATCTATATAATATCCCATTTTGACGACAGTCCCTGTTGTCAGCTTCTCCTCACCGCTTGCTCATTGGGAAACGTCTTCTGTCTTTGTCATTCCAATGGCCAGAGACCTAATGCATGTGCACCCAAGGAAAAGTGGTCCAAACCCAGCTTCATTTTCAGAAACTTATTGCAAAGAGTGTACATAGGAAGCGACTGATTTCAGGGTTTTCCAAAGGGTGTGCAACCAAATATTAAGTTAAGGGTGCCAATTTTTTTGTCCAGCCCATTTTTTATGCTGTAATTTTTGTGGACATTTAGTCTATTTGACATTTTGGTTCTGTTTGAAGGGTCCCCCCCCGTCATTAATAGCAAGGGAATAAACATGTGTACACAAAATCTTTCTATGTGTATATACCTTTTTTTTGTAGAAGTACTTGATTTTCAGGAAAAATATCAATGGGTGGCAACAATTTCGGCTTCTATGACTTTAAAAAGATGTGGAAGCCTTGAATAGGTGGAGTCAGCCAGTACTGTTCAATCACTTACTAAGAAGTGGAAAATTTGGGAATATCTTGATACCAAGCCAAGGTCACCGGGACCAAGAAAGATTTCAGCCACAACAGCCTGGAAGAACGGCTTTTTTGGGATACAAATAAAAATCCACTCTGGATGAAGGAGCACAGGGGGCACATTTGGACAGCAGCATTGTCAGTCTCAGGGGAGGGTAGCGTTAGATATACTAGCAAATTTAGATACACTAAACAAATTCAAGCCAAACTCTAGCTAATACTTTATAAGCAATTAAAGCAAACAGTTTTTTCCATTTAGGAACCCAAGAGTATACATGAACCCCACCAAATCTGTCAATATAAGCACCCTTGTCACTGAGGAAGTCAAAGGGTTTCTTAAACTGATATACCTTGAAGAGAGCTTCCCCTTCTTTTGAAAAACAACAGACTTACTGGCTGGATCACCAGATCTTGAAAATAAAAGAAAGACAGAAAGCCTAAACAAGAAAACTAATGCACCCCCATCACATCTAAGAATTGGTAAGCTGCAATATAATAAATGTTTGCTTTTGGTTTATTACTACATTAAAGCAAAACTGTGTTCTGGTTAGCCACTGGAGATCTTTTCTGTAATATGCATGGCATACCTGCACATTATTGCAGACTTACTTCTTGGTTTGTCCTCCATCAACAATGACAAGTAAAAGAAAGGAAGGCGCCTCTAAGTGCAGTATTGACAATTTATTTAGTAAACAATGGAAAATTTGCACTTACAAGATAAACGGTTAAAAAGACTCATCGTGTAGTAATTAGATCCAGACCTCTGAAGAAGGAGCCTATTGAGCATGCTCCTCTTACCTATCCGAGCATGCTCCTTCACCGCCCCCTTCACCTGCTACATCTGACTCTGCTCTCCAAGCTTCATTTTTGATGCACAGGCACATCCTGGACTCTACTTCCTGATCCTATAGGCATAGTTTGCTGCTGGACGGCTGGATGTCCCCACCTGGATCCAATTACCACACGATGAGCCTTTTTAACCGTTTATCTTGTAAGTGCAAAGTTTACTAAATAAATTGTCAACACTGCACTTAGAGGCGCCTTCCTCTCTTTTTCTTGTTACTGCATTAGAGCCTTGCTTCCACTCTAAGAAGAGCTGCCTTAGTGTTACTGCTCCCATCCCCCCCCTGATATCCATCTGGCACCTTTATCTTACAGCTACAGAGATTGGGCTCCAACAAGCGCGCCCTATATAATATACATTTTCAACGACAAGTCCCCTGCCATTGTCAGCTTCTCCTCACCCGCTTCCTCATCTGACACGTCTTCTGTCTTTGGTCACTTGAGTATCTCCGCAGTGACTAACTGCATGTGCACCCAAGTTACAAAGATAATGCCCACCACCAGTGCTTCATTTTCAGCATCAAACAGTTGCAAAGAGTGTACACAAAAAAGAAAAACACTGCTAGGGGTAAGAAATGTTTTGGAAGAAGAACATACCAATTTTTTTTTCCCTAGCATTTTTTATGCTGTAATTACCCTTTAAAGTGGACCTTTAGTCTATTTGACATGTTGGTTCTGTTTGAAGGGTACCACCCCCCCCCCCCGTCATTAATAGCATTGGAATAAAACACACAATCTTTCTATGTGTATATACCTTTTTTTAGTAAGTCCGCTCCTCAGCCAATGTCAATGGCCTAGGCAAATGATGCAGGATCTTCTACTGCCCTTTATACCTGGGATTTTTTTTTGGGTGGAGAGGGTTGGAGACAGGTGGAGTCAGGCAGAGGAGGTTAGAGACCAGGGGCGGACTGACCATTTGGAAACTCGTGCACTGCCCGAGGGCCCCAGGGGGTCAGTAGGGGGCCCCATGAAGTGCCCCTGGTACCTTTCATAGGCTTTTTTGGGGTGTGGTTCGAGTGTGGGCTAGGACACAGGGGTCCCATGATCCCCTATTGCCCGGGGCCCCATGAGTTGTCAGTCCGCCCCTGTTAGAGACCATTACTGCGCATGCCGTACCACGCAATCACGGTTCCTGCTACCATCTGCCACACTGCATATGCACGCGATTTGCCTTTACTGAGGGAGGGGATGTGGCAGTTACCAGAAAGCAAAAGAGTGATAGCTACAGCTGCCCAAAGTTAACATGGCTGTAGTGACATTACAGGGTGAGCACAGTTCCAGGCTGCATATTTCAGATTTTAATAAATGAAGTTGATATATCAAATTACCCACTTTGTTACATGCTGCTCGTTGTTTTTCTGAAACGTATCATGTTTAAGTTACTTTTTAATGTAGTATTAAACGAAAAACCAAAAATGTAATACATTGCAGCTTATCAATTATTAAATATGGTGGCGCATCGGTTTTTTTATTCGGCTTTTCCCCCCTCTGTTTTCACCTGGTGATCTGGCCTGTAACACACCCCCTGTATTAGTAAGACACCACTCTGGAGGAAAGAGAACAGGACAAAACAGGCAACAGCATTGTTGGTTTGTGGGGATAGGAATGTTAAATATATTAGAAGATTTGAATACAAATAACAAATTGAAGCCAGACTCTAGCTAACACTTTATAATCAGTTACAGCAGACAGTTTTTTTTTCCTTTTGGGATAAAGGTTTTACATGATTAAATAAAAACTGATCATTTTAACCACCCCTGCCAGTGTTAAGTGGTTTGGTCTTAACTGTGTAAACTGATCCATTCTACTAGAGAGCCTGAGCTTCTGAAAAACAACAGACTTGCTGCCTGAATCACCAAATGCAAACAGAAGAAAGAAAGCCAAAAAATGGAACGTAGGCAGCCATCACATATAAGAATTTGTAAGCTGCAATCTAATAAATGTTTGCTCTTGGGTTTAATACTGCTTTTTCCAGAGTGTTTTTTTTTTTTTTTTTTTGGAGAGGTGTTAATTCTAAACCTTATTCATGAAGACAGCAGATCTTGAGACATATATTTAAATTTCCCTGCTTTTAATTGACAAACCAGAGTAACAAATTAGGAACATTTTATTTTTTTTCTGTAATTTCTTTCCAACATAACTTTTAAGTTACCCCATACCAGAGGCATGGTAAAGATCAGAGTGAAAATTTGCCTTTGAATTTATTAGAACTCAGGATAAGAAAAAATAATTTGTTTGCTCAGATAGTTCGAGTAAAATTAAGACACATGTAAGTTGTGTTTGTGCAGACAGGAATTTGCACGATGGCGATATTTTTACTAAGTAAAAAAACAAAATGGCGGGGTGCAGTTGAAGCTAATAATAGGTAGCTGGAGTTACAAGTTGATCCTGACCATACCTTCTTCCACTTTTGAGCCTCTTTATTAGTCAGGAAGGCCACCTGTCACATTAACCTCCCTAGCGGTCTGATTATAATGATTATAATATGTCCATATTTCTGTGCTCAAAGTGGTAAATTTTTTTGCATGGAAATATGTATTTTTTTTATTGTAGGCCTGTAATTTTTAGGAATAACTCACTGAAATCTGTCCGAACAAGAGTCTAGTACACATCCCGGGTATGTTAAAATTTGAAACACGAAATCATAAATTATAATTTAATAAATAATCATAAAAAATAATAATATAATAATAATAAATTTAATTCAATAATATAATCATACCAAAAACACTGAAATTTGAAATATAGCGCCAAGTTCGCACATCACTGAGCAAAGTCGCAAAATTGTTTTCAGTGTCTGATGACGTATTTCCCCACAAATCATTATCACTCAATTCTGCAAGTCTTTCTAATTTACTATCGCTGTTCTCTAGCTGGTCTAAAACCGATTTTGACCTAAAGAGACGCTTTTTGGACGCCATGGACGTTTCTCAGTTTCCAGGCAGAAAGAACAGTAAAAATGCAGGCAGGACACAGGACAAAGCACTCGGGACAAAATGTATGTGAAATGGTTTGATACAGGAATGTTATACTATGTGATTTTAGTGATTTTAGTGAATGCCACTTTTTGTCATTTTCAAATTTCCGCTGTACCGTCCCCCGTACGTCCCGACGTTGCAGGGGACGGAACCCAGAAGACAGATGCTGGCATCCGCCGGATTACATTGCCGGGGACACTACAGGAGGGACATAGCGGGAGCGCAGGACAAGGTAAGAGAAGAACAGATCCTGGAGCAGCACCGCATGGTAAGCCCGAGTGTAGCTCGGGGTTACCGCTTGTGGTACTGAAACTTTACCCCGAGCTACACTCGGGAATACCGCCAGGGAGGCTACATGACCATAAAGTTAAAATGGAAGTTAGGAAGAGGATGGACCAAGCTAAATTTCTAAAGGAATAGTTGAGATTTAAATGTAAATTCAGCTGCCTATATCTCTAGACTAGAGGTCTGCAAACGTTTCAGTGCTAGCCTTCCTATTGGCCAGGTAGACCACCTGCCACGTTAGGGACCATAAAGGTAGAAAGGGAGGTAGAAAGAGGTGGGACCAAGCTGATCTTCTAAAGGAAGAGTTGAGATTTAAATATAAATTCTGCTGCCTATACCTCTAGACCAGGGGTTACCAAACTGTTCAGTAAGAGGGCCACACTGTTTATTTTACAAACAATCATGATCAGGTTCTCTGTTATGTCTGGGTCCCTATCAGAGTCCCTCTTACAACAGAGTCCCCCCTTACATCTGGGTCCCCATCAGAGTCCCTGCCTACATCAGGGTCCCCATCGGATTTCCCCCTTATATCTTGGTGTCTGTTAAACATGGTCCCTATCAGAGACCACTTTACAACAGAGTCTTCTCTTACTTCAGGGTCCATCAGAGCCCTCCTTAAATCAGGGTCCACATCAGAGGGCCCCCTAACATCAGGGTCTACATCACAGTCCCGTCTTGCATTGAGGGTTCCCATCAGAATTCCTGCATGATATCAGAAGCACTACCCATAAACAGTCTCTGCTGACCTTAATCCTCAATCAGTGCACATTGAGGAAATGCCACTGACCCTAGCAGCTGGCAGGATAAAAGCTTGTAGAAGACATGATGGGGTTGATTTACTAAAACCGAAGAGTGCAAAATCTGGTGCAACTTTACATAGAAACCAATCAGCTTCCAGGTTCTATTGTCAAAGTGTAACTGAACAAGGTGAGCTTAGAAGCTGATTGGCTACCATGCACAGCTCCACCAGATTCTGAATGCTTCAGTTTTAGTAAATCTACCCCAATGTGTCCCATGGGCCGTAGTTTGGAGACCCCTGCTCTAGACCCACTAAAGATTTTGACATGCTGTTTCCACACAAAGTACCTGCTAATATGTAAATATTATCACATGCTCAGTTTAAGTTGTCCAGGTTTGCGACTTACTTATTTTAAAGTGACCTTCTTTACTGTTTTCTTCTTTTCCAGAAGAAAAACATGTCCAGTTCACCTTTAGAGATCCTTCCCCTTTGTATATAAAACACTTTTTTTTTTTAATTCCCTCATGCTATTATTCGATATTTGCTTTCCTCGGCAGTTTTCTATGACCAGCCATCTCTGTGCCCTGGCATAATGAAGCATAAAATAGTTGCCGCGGTTTTGCGCTATTTTTCTTTGATACAAGTAAAGTGGCTCATTTTATTTAAAGCCGCTCTATTCACTAGCCTTAGGCAGCAATAAAAGCGAAGTAGCGGAGGTAGCCTCCATTCTAGTTTACATGTTACCCTCGGATGTCATTTAATTTCATATTCTCTCTTTTCTTGTAGCACAAGCAGCCTTTATGCATGGAGGAAAAGAGCAAAGAGCTTGACACTACGGAATTAATTTATTGAATGCAAGAAAGAGGTTAATGTATCCTCTTTGTACATATGTCTAAGTATCTGAATGTTTTCTCCAGTTGACTGGTAAATGTTCGCTCGGTTTCCGAGAGATTGACTCCAATTGTAGCAGATACGCCGTTATATAATACTGTGCGGTAAGTAATACACAACGTTTGTGTCCACATGAATACACTCGGCCAGAATAGCCTGTGAAATGACAAAAGGAGACCTGGCTACTAAATATAACAAATCCTGAATTATGCAAAATGATCTCCACTGGAGGCTGCAAAAGTAATGTAAAAAGAATCTATAGAAAATACAAAATGATCTCAGTTTATTAAAGCTATTAAAAACATTTTAATTGGTTGGCAAGCTTCAGAAGTCTCTACTTTTGATCAATATCTCCATCCTTTTTTTAGTGAAGTTGTCCTTTATAGCTACCACACATCCTTTGTATACCCAGCAGTGTATCTAAAGCCAAGACGGAATATTTTATGTATTTCAGCTTACCAGTCCTTAGATTTAGTGGATGCGTTAGTTTTCATTTTTCAGGTTTTTATTATCTTCTATTTTACTTTATTTATAAAAATGTGCATCGCAATTCGCCCAGTAAAAGTGCATGGACGTTCACTCTGTGCAAATGGGGCAAAATAAAAGCATGCTATTAGGCTATTTCCTGTGATCATCGGGTGACATCACTGTCCAAATATGACGATGTCCATATTTTGTCAATGATGTCATCCAGGAGCCCCCCCTTTTTTTTCATTGGTGGAGGGGACTGGGAGATGTCACTCAATGAAAGTGAAGTAATAGGACTGGATGTTTCTGCAGTAGATTTTTTTTTTAGGCAGGTTGGTGGGTGTTGTTCATAATATTTGACAAGGATATGGATGATGTGATTGACAGTGGATTTACATTGTGGAATTTTGTTTTGTGTTTTTGTAATAAGTACTTCTACTCATTCATATGAGTGGGGGGGGGGGGGTAATGTCTTGGGGCACCTTATTTATAAAGAGGACTTCCAGATTCCAATAAGCTCCCTATCTGCAGACCCCCACAATCAAGGAGTTGTGCAAAAGAGGCCACATTGTGATCCCTACTGATACTGGGTAATTTTCTGCTCCCACTTGCCACAGTCTGCCCCTACCCCCCCAAGTCTGCACTGGACCTTTTTTAGTTTGGAGATCCCTGGTCCTAGGGAAAAGCATATATGTGACCTATTTTATTTTTAAATTGATACCATATCAAGACATATTAAGATGGCAAAAAATGTGTGGCAGTTTGGTCAGTAGTGACTACAGCTACAGAATATATGTCTACTAGATATTTTACAAGCAAGCTCACCAGTGAAGGTTATATGCCAATATAAGTGTTACATCTTACTTAACATGCATGCACATTACATGAAATAATATATCTGATGCTAGGTCCACTTTAGTACTGAATTAAAGAATACAAGACTGCTTTTTTCCATCATCAGTTTATTGTAGTTTGCCTTTTTCCAAAGAGAACATTTTTGTTAGTCTGCATTTAAATGTAATACAAAACTTTCTATGGTGAAAATAAAAGTAATAAGAAGCTAGACCCCTTGGTCCAAATGCTTTTCAGCAGTGCCCCAGGACCCTAATCTGGGGCACTTTGATATGCAAATATTGAATTTTTTTGTTGCCTTGCTGAGCCAAGTGTTAGAACAGGAGACATCACAAAGCAAATTAGCCAAGGTCCTTGCAGTTCCAAAAAGGGGCAATCCTTAGTTTCCATGGTTTAGCAGTGATAAAAAATAAACTCCCAAGTCTGTGACAAAATCTATTCCAGAAAAAAACCCATTTAAAGAGCAGGGATGAGCTCAGGCATGTTCGGACCCACCGGAGCTATCCCGCTGGGAAGCTGTCAAAGCCAACAGCCAAGTATAGGTGGCAGAGGCATTCCCCATCTCACAGCTGCACATATGCAAGGGGCTGGTTCACCTGCGACTGCAGGGTGGGAAATGCCTCCACCTATTATTGGTTGTTGGCTTTGACAGCTTCCCAATGGGAAAGCTCAAGCAGGTTTGGACGCATGTCTGAACACACCTGAACTCATCCCTGCTAAAGAGATTCACACTTTAAAAAGTAACTCCACTTTTGTAGAGAAAAATCAATCCTCTATGGGTAATCAATTCACTTTGCAAGGATTTTAAAAAAAACTTTGTATCAGATTCCTGTTCCTGTTTCTGCTCTGAACAGTAATTTATTTGACCATGCATTTTGCATATTGATTCTGAATCGGAGTGACCAGCTCATTATAATCAGCTGGTGAACTCTCAGTGTTCTGATAATAAAAGTTGCAGTGTCTGCATTCCTTTAAAATGATTTAACCCTTAAAGTGTATCTTGCCAAAAATGACCTTTTTGTTGCAGAGAATGCCTAAAATCTGTCTTGTATCTAAAATGCAGACTTTATGAGAAAATCAGTGGCCAATCACTGTTTTGCTTTGTTTTTTAAAGCCACTTTGCAGTAAAACAAGGAAGCATAAAAACCTGTGTAGTATATTATGTGCTTTACTAAACAAGAATGGTGTACATACAAACTACTTACAATCTTAGGAAAACAATATATGACATACAGAGTATTACATATATGCATACAATATACACATGCAAAAGACATCTATCCTTCCTATCAAATAGATTGCATATGCACTATTGCATACATCGGCAATGTATGCAATAGTGATACACTAAAAGTTATTTAACTTGGGTTATAGTGTAGATTTAGTATCATCCCCAGGTGACATTCCCTCCTTGAACAGACTTTCTTTGGTCTTTTGGAGTCCTCTTCCTTCTTTGTTCTTCCTGGTGATATGGCATCGTCTTCCTTATATCCAGGATATCTTCCAAAACTCCTCCTTGCTTCTCCAAAACTGGCCTCCATGAACCAGTCAAACAAGTTAATTAGCATTTGAATAGTGGAAACATAGCTTCTAAAAAACAATACATTGGGGTTGATTTACTAAAGGCAAATAGGTTTTGCACTGAAAGTACAGTTGCTCTAGATCTGAGGGGAACATGAAAGGAAAATAAAAAACAGCATTTTTGCTTATACATGATTGGTGAAAGAAATCAGCAGAGCTTTGCCTCATTTCAGAACTTCCCGTCGGATATAAAGCAACTGCACTTGCAGTGCACAGTATATTTACCTCTAGTAAATCAACCCCAAGGTAACTAAATATATTATTATTATTATACAGTATTTATATAACGCCAACAGTTCACTCAGCGCTGTACATTACAATGGGGGACAATACATGAGACAGTACAATAACAATACAGTGCGATACACGAGGGGTTCGAGGGCCCTGCTCCTTCGAGCTTACAATCTAGGAGGGAGGGGATAGTGGTACGGGAGGAAAAGCTGTGGGGGATGGAGTGGTAGGAAGAGTGGAGGAGAACGGCAGTTAGCAGGGGGTGGGGTCGGCTTCCCTGAAGAGTCTGATGGATTGGGGTAGGGAGTTCCAGAGGATGGGTGATGGCCTGGAGAAGTCCTGGGGGTGGGCATGATAGAGGAGATCAGGGAACTAGAGAGAAAGAGGTCTTGTGAAGAGCGGAGAGTGCGTTTTGGGTGGTATTTGGATATTAGGTCGGTGATGTAATTTGGGTCAGAATTATGGACAGCTTTGTATGTCAGTGTTAGCAGTTTGAATTTGATCTGTTGGGCAATCGGAAGCCAGTGGAGGGCTTGGTAGAGGGGGGTGGCGGAAACGGAGCGGTTGGTAAGGTGGATAAGTCTGGCCGCCGTATTCAGGATCGACTGAAGTGGGGATAGCCTGTTGTGAGGAGGGAGTTGCAGTAATCGAGTCGTGGTATGATGAGGGAGTGGATGAGCTGCTTAGTAGTTTCTATGGTTAGGAATGGGCGTATTTTGGTGATGTATATATATATATATATATATATATATATTATATATATATATATATAATATATTTATGCTCTAAAAATCACTAAAATAGCCATAGCAACACAATCACGCAAACAGAAAATAACATTTCTAGGGGAGTTCCATACACCAAAGGTGTGCAGAACACCTCCAGGTTGCCATATTGTAAGACAATTACAACGACTGCGGATTTAAATGGAAAGCTAATTTTTATTAGTATTAAATTACAATATGGCATATATAGCAAGTGTAAATTATAGATTGTTGTTTTTTTGGTGTTTTTTTTCCACAAAGGCAGAGATAACTTTAAAAATTATAAAATCATATATGTACTCATGTTCATTTCAAAAAGACCATTTAACTAATAATACCAACAACATTCTATAAGGTTCCCAACTTGGCCACTTTGATAGAGATTGTACAATTAAGGGGCAATCAGTTTACAAAATCTATTATTTCCCA